TAGTAGTCAAGAGTTCTAGCTTTAAATTAAACCTAAGTGGAAGGTTCCATAACCTTTGGTTTCTTTTCCAGAGCTTCCCAAATATTGAAAAAATGCGATTTTTTTAAAGTTTGATTTTAGTCATAAATGACTATGTATAAGTGACTATCAGTTCAAGGTGCAAAGATGATATTTTCAGGGGTAGTACTCGAGAGTTCTAGCTTTATTTTAAGCCGAAGTGAAAGGTTTTGTCGCTTTTTGTCGCTTTTTGTTTCTTTTTCGACACTTTGACCTCGTTTTCTTAAGTGTTGCTCCGTGTAATTGGAAGTAGTGGGGTATTCTAGCTTTTATTTAAGCCTAAGTGGAAGGTTCTATCAGCTTTTCTATCAAACTTGTTTTCCATTTTTGTTGGACTGTTTGTGCAAACAAATTTTCTTTCAATCAATCAAACATTACTTTCAAGGAACACAAATTTTCTCCGCTTTTACCCACTTATATACACCATGCACATACATATGTATGTAGCATGCAAAAAATTCTCTCTTTGCAATTTCTAGTTACCAACACATGCTCTCTTCTTACATTGCAGGCAAACTTTACTCAGCCGGTGGCCTCTCTTCCATATTGCGCGAGCTTTCCGATGACATTATACCCGCAGATGGTGAGGAAATCTACAATCCATTCACACCGGTTGTCTCTCCCACCGAGGAGGATACGCCCGCACACATTGACAAAATGTTCCTGCAGACGTCATCGGGATATCGACCAGTTGAGCACTGCTACTATAAACATTCATTTGTAGGCGTAGGGGCAGGTGGCAGCAGCGGTGGTGGAGGCGGTAGTAGTGGTAGCGGAATAGCTGGCGGTGCAGGTGGCACTGGTGGCGGTGGTAGTGGGCGCTATGGCATAGTTGGTGGTACACATCGATTGTCAGCCGCGGGCGGCAGCTTGGCTGGTGGTATGGAACATGCGGGCATGTTGCGGGCGAGCGGTAGTTTTGGCGATACGCGTTGCCTACTCGATGCCGAGTGTGGAAGGTGAGTAGCGGTTGGTTTTGAAAAAAAGAACAAAACCGCAGCGGTTGTTATAAGACATATTGTGTGGGTGTCAAATTTGCGCTGCTGCTAGCTAAATCTGCAGCGACATGTTATTATGGTAAATGTGACGACGACCAAAGCCAGTTGACAATTTCTTTTTTATTGGAAAGTTAGTTTAAGAATATAGAAATGGTATAGGGATATGATTTTCTCACATACATATATGCATATACATACATAAGTATTTACCCTGCGAACCATTTTTTTCGAAGTTTTCTGAATTGTACAGAAATTTTAAAGAATTTTAAAGTAAACTGTCAAATGACGCGTTCATAAGGGATTGCAGAGAACCGAGTACCGATTAATCTGTCTAACCTGGCGTATACGCAACATCAGTTGAATGCGTGAGGGCTATAAAAAAATCCCCACCAAGTATTTCCTTGCTGAAATGATTAAATAAAAATTATGCATGCAATTGAGTACATTGGTTACGGGATGAAAATTTTACTCGATTCTGTACGATTCTATAAAAAAATAAAATAAAATTTTATGTTAACTTGAAGCCGGCGACTAATGAATTTAAACATTTAGATGTTGACTATAAAGGCCTGTATGCAGCTCTCAAGAAAAGCAAAAACTCCATATAAAATTACGTACAAGAAATGGCTAAGAAATTTTCTTTAGTAAAATTTCCTTAAGGCAGTACGGAGTTCTTAAGGAATTTGCTACGCTTTCTACGACGGTTTTCTAAAGTTTTTTGTGTGTATATATGCCCGTTCCATTATTTCTTGAGGAAAGAGTGAGGCAACAGGCTATGAAGTATCAAAAATGTCAAAATTCCTTCGACATTTCTTGGCCGTTTTCTTGAAAGCTGCATACAGGGCATAAGTATAGTATTGGTTAAATTGTCTGAAAGAATATATGTATAAAAATTCCGGAAGCGTTTTCCACTATTTATCTTTTAAACGAGACAAAGCAATTCTGAAGCTTCTAAAAAGTTAGTTACGCTGCTGCTAGGTTGCCTAAGATTTTGTGGTCCGATATGATGGAATAGAATTGCTCGGATATTCAGTTCACCGATTAGGTTTCCATTACGACTTTGAAGTTGCGCTTGACAGATATTTTAATATCTGCTTATTCACTTATTAGGTGGTAACAAAATTTACCGGTTATAAAACGCTTTGAAAAATACAGAGGAAATCGGCGAAGTATTTGGTTTCCATTCAAACCGATAAAGGATTGGAGTGCCACATAAGACGAAGAAGGAAAATCGATATTACGACAGCGCGTAAACTCCCCCCCTTAAATATTGGAGAGCACCGGACAGAAAACATCTGCGACAACTGTTTGGTGTTCTAAATTCAATGTGACGTGATTTTGTCACAAAAGCTTGGGAGTCCATTAAAACTTCAGAGCTTAAGGCTCTATAGACAATTTTATAGTGACATAGCTGTAGATACTTCTAGTGGAAAATGTCCCAACCCTCTCAAATAAATTAGTATTCGTGGGATTTTTGCACGTCGCTTTATTTTTATTAGTTTTATGTTTTAATATAGCCAATTTATAGCAGTTCAACCATCCTTTTTGTTGAAAAAAAGAAACAAATATTTCTACATCTACGCTACTCGACTTTCTTGGTCTCCATATTAAATTCTAAAGTAACCTGTATCACTAAAAAAAGAAATATGCCACGTTTTCTATGAGAGGTTTATTTGTCACCTCCTCTACACCTATTCAAAGTGGGCACAGAAATGTCGTGGGCTATCATCGTTAGGCACAAATTTCATCAGTCGAGTTTATTTTTGGCTGTCAATGTACATAAAATGCTGGCAGCTATTTTTAGACAACGAAAACGAGAAAATCGCAGAACATAAAACGCACAATCCATGCTTAAAGCTATATATAGTTTACTTATGTATGACCGTATGTGTGTGGGAAAGTGTTTGTACGTACTGGTTTCGCATTGGAAATAAAATGAGTCTTATTTGCAACATATCCGACATTTGCCTCGAAAAGAGCTTACGCCTACGCAAATTACATAAAATTTGTACGAATTCAGCAAATGAATGTAAGAAAAGATAGAAAAAAAAAACGCATATAAAAAAGGTCGTAGCACGTAGACCCAGCTATTTTTATAGGTGAGTGTAATAAAGGCAGCGTGCAGGCATATCCCAGGAGGTTGTGTGGGTGGTCGGCGCGGTTGCGGCGAACCATAAGCCCACGTCTCTAGGCGCGACACTACGGCACACACAATGACCGTCTGGAAAAGGTTAATGTAGGCGTTGAAAGGTGGTTGAAAGCGACTCTAATTTGTTGTTACATATGAACATTTGTACATAAATACGTATGTATGTGTATTGTGTGTTGGCGTGTTCGGGCTTTCTGCCGCAGCAATGTCACGTTTCGCATAGAAGGTGGAAAGGCAAAACTTGAGGTTGATAAAAGCCAAAAAAAAATAAAAAAAAAATAAAAAATTACAATGACGTAAATATCGCAAATTTATTACTATTTTCCTTGCCAATATGTGTAGCCAGCCACTCAGCCATATTTGTATGTACAGCAACAATGTACAAATTTCAGCTGTAGATGGTGGGAAAACTCAACTGTACTTTCGAAAAGCGCAAACGTAAATAACCGCTCCTCAATTTGCCATTTACATACATACCAATTTTTATTAAATCCATTAAAGCCCATTGCGTGCTAAATATTTTCTTTTCGCTAGCACATTTTCCCAGTTTATCCCTCTGCAATCGAATTAGCTTTAGTATTCGCATTTTATCTTCTCTCTTCTTCCCTTTCTCCATAGGCATCATCGTGAGATCACGTCGAACATACAGCTGGCCTGCGTCATTCAACGAATTTGGATACTCATCTCGAATATCTGCCATGGTTTGCTAGCTGGTCTAGCTTTGGCTCATTTGTTGTTCGTGCTAAGCAGTCATCCGTTGGATTGGTCGCGGGTACTTAGTCTTGCGGGCGAGACTGTATCTAAGGCACAGGCGGCGACGACGACAGCGGCTTCGTCAGTGGTAGACGGAGGTGGCGGTGGCGGTGGCGGCGGCGGTGCAGACACTGGCAGTGATAAACTAATTTTAAGTGGCTCGCAGCAAACATTCAGCTTTGTGGAGGATTATGCCACTTTTGCTGAGATCTATCTGAATACATTCTACTGTTTGGCAATCATATGCATGGTTTCGGTTTTCGATCGGTAAGTTAATTGAAAAAACATTCATTTAGGAAAGAAAATTAAAGCTTAGCTGACCATAAATTTATTTAGTTTCGGCGAGATTTAAAGTTAAACGAAAGTTATGAGATATATGTGTTTATTATTTAAAACCAAATCGGAATAGAAGAACTTGATTGATGCTGGATGGTTCAGATACCTCGGATATATCTTCTAAATATAGCTCCAGCCATGCCATTATTTACAGATTAAATACATCTAAAACGAAAGCATCAGATACAGAGAAAATACTATGTACAAGCCTTATTCTTCAGGTGAGAAGTCAAAGAGAATGGCACAAGCAAAGAAATTCATAACTCTTTCCAGGAGAAACTACGAAAGAGTCCTTGAACTTAGTGTGGAGGTTCTTAGAACTCTTACAGGCTTCCTGACAGGACACTGCAAATTAAGGTGTCAAATAAAATGGCGATTTATGTAGAGGCTGAAGGTTGTGTGGTGAAAACCACAGAGTATATTATATGTGACTGCTCAATTGCCGTGTATTGTACACTTATACACGCGGTCAAATGATTATTTTTGGATGGAACATGCCATCATCCAATGTGCTTAATTTCTTAAACTACCCTCAGGTTGGAGTGATTGAAATTACGATTTAGCGCAGTAGATCTTTCGAGGTCGAAGCGCGAGTACTTATAACCGACGTAATAATCATATTCTCCAGGTACGATAGAGAGAGAGTAGACCGTCGATGTTAACTATGCTGCCCGATAATCAGCTTAATTTGCTGTGTTGCAGTATAGAAATTGAACGGGTGTAATGGTCAGCTTCCATGCTTAGGATGGAAGATCTACGTTATACTCCTACCAAAGCTTTCTGATGTTCCTTTCGTTTGGCACCCATATGGTGATACATATTTCTCTTACATAATATGATTTTTTAAACATGTGGCAACCCTACTATAGTTCAGCTAAGAAACATACCTTTTGAAAACCATTTCGATTAATACCTATTTTGTAATAATTGATTTATTTTTTTAAATAATTTGAATCAAATTCAAAGCTGGCAACTCTTTTCTTCAAAAAAGTGAAATCTTATTGCACACCTAAGTCCAACCCTTTTAATTTGATGATGGACATGATGGCATTGATTATTAAATAATTTGAGTTTAATTGTTCAACAGGTGGCAACTCGTTTCGAAAAACCGAAATCAATTTGCAGACCAAGCGCTCTAATTTGACATCTTATTTTTGAAAATCGTCCTGTTCTGGACAAAAAATCCCTTCGCGTAATATATACAGTGACTCAAACAAATGACCACGGCTAGAAAATCTCGTTGATTTTTGAAAATTTTTTTTTGGTGACAGATTTTTGAACTTTTTTCCATATAAGCATGAATTTCTTATGAAAGAAAACGCGGGCGACCGTTTGCAATAAAATTTCAAAATAACAACGCCAGTTTTTGTAAATTGCACTTGTTATATTAAAAAAAAAACCGAAAAAGTAGTCTAAAAAAAATGTTACAAACAACGCGATTTTTTAGCTGATTAAAACTTGCACTTCATTAAACTAAAATTATATGGGCAATAAAACTGCATACCCACAAATGTTCTAAAGATTCAGAGTAAAAAGTTGAAATTCGGATGAAAATTTGTTAAATTTTCCTAAAATTTGTATAAGGTTGGGACTGTGATTTATATGGTTTTCGTTTTTATAGAAAAATAGCAAAAAAAAAAAATTAGCTCGAAAAACATTACGAATATTAAAAAAAAAAATCAACTCGTGGTCATTTGTTTGAGTCACTGTATGTATATAGATTATATATATAGATGCTAAAATGTCCTATCTCTATTTATATTTTCGGCCTCTTCCTAGAAGTGGTAATTGTTTAATGGCTGCTTAAATAGCTTGCTCCTGTATAGATCGCCAACCAAATTTTTATACACAAAACTTATCATCATAGAAGATTTTTTTTTTAACTAACTTCAAAAAAAGGAGAAGGTTGTCAATTTCTTTTATGTGTGTAACCGCATCATGTCAAAGGTGGTACCTCAGACTACTTTGGTTTACATCCGATCATTGGATCATGTAGATATTAACGATATTCTTAAATTTTTATACAATTGAAGTCGGTTTTGCTTTTTGCTTAGAAATTACTTGTTTTTTTTTTTTTTGTTTTAAATTCGCAACCTACATGTCTTTTGATATCCAAACATTCAGCAAAATCCTTAGACGTGATAAAATCAAAGTATGTAAGCTCAATTGAGTCTACCAGCCCCCCAACGCCCTCGAAGCGTGATTTACACTAAGCCTCCTTGATACACATTGCCGCTCTATAGACGAAACAGTAAAGGTCAATTTTACAAACACTTGAAAATGTGCAGCGTAGTAGCGATATTCCAATGGCAAGCCGTCAGCTGGTGGTGGTGGCCTTCTTTGGAGCAAAATCATATACATACATATGTATATATGTACGTATGTATGTATTTATTAAAAAATAGTGACGTAGGTATTACACATTCAGTAATCGCTGGTACGTGAGGCTGAGGGTGAGCTTAGACGTTCATAGCGTATCGAAAATGGCATACAAATGGCACAAGTGCAAGAAAACAAAAAAAAAAACAAAAACAAACCAGAGACACAAATCGCAAGGAACTACACGTGTCTGGGCCTAAATACATATTTGCTATGTGAATTAGTTGCAATTGTAAGGTAAAAATCGTCTTGAACACACATATTTACGAGTACTTGGCTATGTATGTACGAAAGCTTATGTATATATGTAAATGTATTCGCTTCCATTGGAAAACATATATCTATGTATATAAGTGAGGTTTTATTCTAGGCTGAAGGTTATTAAAAATATCACAGCCAGATCTGTGTTTATGTTTTTTTTTTTCACAAAGTGCACATTTCTATGTTTACCCAACCATGTACATATCTTAGTATTTTTGTGCAAAATCTATGTATTTATAGGCACTTGTGTGCATATTTAAGCACACAATCATTTTATTATTAGCAATTTTTTTTTGTAGCCATTTTCTATATTTATTCGCCCGTTGCTGCTCATTGCACACATGACTTGTTTCATAATTTCTATAGTTTTGCGGTTGTGTGATACTCCGTGTAAGGATATGCGGCACATACTCGTACATACTTACAATAAAAAATAATTATACACATATTTTAAACACCAGAACATCCTTTGCAATTTTGAGCACAAAGGATTTTATTTTTACATGCATTTATTATTTTCGAACATTTTTGTGATTAAAACTCTGAGTCTGCAACAGTTGGTATTTGCAAGGAATAGGGCTCCATTTGCCATCCACTTTTTACGAGTATATTCCCAGTATTGCATTTTTACTTATGCTTATAAGAAATGCAACTACAGCGGTTTTTCACGCCACTCTCTGAACCTTGCTTAGCTTAGTCCTCTTGTTGTAGACTTATCCAGGCACGCGCACCAAGCTTTTATGCAGCGAAACAAAATTGGACGTACAATCCCTAAGTACATTTAGTGCCCAATGTGAGGATTCAAATATTGCTTCATTCCCACAGCTAATTTACAGGCGTACAGTACATTTACAGTCGCCCTATAATCCTCATCTATATATATATATATATATGTAGCTATATGTCCAGAAAAACTCCAGATTTCTGACTTCTTCCAAGAGAGTCAGCTATACCGCTACTTAACGTGGAAAGCTGCAGTGCGGCGACTTTCGCATTTTGCCGGATTGAAACTAAGGTAAATTTTTCTAGCCTAGGTTTCAACGCTTTGTATTAGACCACGTAAAATTTGGGTGTGCTCTCAAACTGCCGCCAGCGTTAGATAATCAGCGTAAGCCCTGGCTGCCTGTATTTTGCAACTGTAGCAGCAGGATATTCACCAAATAGTTCTATAGGAGTGGGGGAAGGCACCGTACTGCAGGGTACATTTTGTTGCGTTTATCCTTGCAGAAACTTCTCCCATCTCTGAATAAATAGTGTTGCTGCCTAATTAGGGTGCTCACTATGGTCTCAGCTAGAACGTTATTGAAGGCACCTTCGATGTCTAGAACACACCTAATGCGAGGTCCTTAAAGACGTAGTTACTATCTGATGAAAAGCTGTGCCAACAGACCTGCTTTTCCAATGATATAAGTACGTATGTATATAACAAATGTTTCCAAAAGTGTTATCCAGTGGTCTTTCTAGTAGCTTGTGGCGGAACAAGTAAGGCGTTTTGCTTTAAATAAGTGGATATTCCTCCTTTCGGAATAAACACGACGCTCGCTAAAGTCCATTTCTTGAGCATGCTTTGATCCTACATGCCAAAGGAACTGACTCGTGATAATTATTAAACTTTAGTCTATAAAAATTGTTCCTAAAAAATCAGGGCTCTTGGAACAAAATTAGCCCCACTGCCTTGGCGCTAAGATACAGGAGTTATAGTACCTTAAGAGAGGGAATTGCTTTCCTTTATAGAGTCTCTCAGTACACGTGGAAG